AAGCAGCAAAAGTTTGGAAGTGGAAGCAGCTAATGAGGAGTCACCCAGACATGCCCTGTCTGTCTTACCTGTCTGCAGACAGAGCAGTGACCCTTACATGCCGACTGCAAACAGGTGCACCTGGCGTCACCATGACAACGGGGCCTGAGGAGGTGGGGGAGGGCTGGGAGACTCCCCTAGGGCTCTGGCGCTCCTGCTCACTGTCTGTGAGCCCCCAGCAGGCAGAAGCCACATGCACCTGGCATGCCAGGAGAATGAACCTCAGCTTCTCCTGAAAGAAAGCAGGGGCCAATCCCACTTGGGATGAGGCAGGCTGTCACTTACCAGACTGTGACAAGGAGAGCCACTGTTCACATGCCCTGGACCCATGCAAGTCAAAGAAAAAAGCACTCAGCCCTCCCAATCTGCCAGGTCAGCAATAAGAAACTGGAGAAAACGGATTTTGCAGCATCCACAGGGTATTAAATATTCATCCTGACTACCCATCAGTAAAATCCCAGCAGAATACACCCACTGACAAGTTGGCTTTCTACACCGGAGGCTCTCCTCTTGGAAGCTTGTTTATTGCTTTGTCAATTTGAATGTGCAATATTTAATAGCCAGACCGAGAGAAGGTCGTAAACACTTGGAAAATGAGTGCTGACATTTCCCTTATTGCTTCTGTATTTAGGAATATGTGATTGGAGGTGTTTTTTGGTGCTAAAGAAAATCAGAAGAAAGTAAAGCGATGCTTGGAAATTAAAAGAGAAAAGAATTGATTAAGAGCAAGGAATCGAATCTGTTGAACTGGCTTAAAGTTTTGCCTAAATCCCCCCTGGGGGTCACACTCTGTGATCAATGGGAGTCAGGCTAATCTAAATCAACAAAATGGGAGTGATGGCATTCCTCGAAGATCTCCTTGGGGACGCACAGATGGAGCAGGAAGTAGGTAAAAAGAATGGTCAATGATAGATCCACAATCAATCGTGCCATCCAGCCAGAGATTTTAATGCATCAAATACCTGTGATGTGGTCAGGCCAGCAGGTGGCCCTGGCAAGGACCGGTCTGGGGCACAGATCACACAGAGCCCTTTGGGAGCAGGTGACATGAACAGTGAAAGGCTGACACATGGACCAGCACGAGAGAGCCAACAGTCCCTGGGTTTCCCTGTGATTCTGTTGGAATAAGAATATTTTATAAAATATATTTTTTAAAGATTTTATTTATTTGTCAGAGAGAGGGAGAGCGAGAAAGCGAGCACAGGCAGGCAGAGGGAGAAGCAGGCTCCCTGCCAAGCAAGGAGCCCAATGTGGGACTCAATCCCAGGACGCTGGGATCATGACGCAAGCCGAAGGCAGCTGCTCAACCAACTGAACCCCCCAGGTGTCCCAGAATATTTTATAAAATATTCTTAAAAGTGGTTGGCGGCAGGTGTTGGGCGGGGGGACACTCGATGGAAAACACCAGAGCAGGGATAAGAGGACTATTTTGAGGGGCAAGGACTGGAGGGAGAGCAAAAAGAAGAGAAGCCCAGGCTGGTTCTGAGCTCTGGTATCCCCAAGTCTTAGGAGCCATCTTGTGGCAGAAGTTTGAAGAAACGGGCGTTAGAGGAGACGTCAGTTAAAATCCTTCACCATGGGGTGCCTGGGTGGCTCAGTGGGTTAAAGCCTCTGCCTTCCGCTCAGGTCATGATCCCAAGGTCCTGGGATCAAGCCCCGTGTCGGGCTCTCTGCTCCGCAGGGAGCCTGCTTCCTCCTCTCTCTCTGCCTGCCTTTCTGCCTACTTGTGATATCTGTCAAATAAATAAATAAAATCTTAAAAAAAAAAAATCCTTCACCATTGGCAGACTACAACCTCTACAGGCACCTCGTGGCCCCAACTTGAAAAAAACAAATTGAAGTATCTACTAACGGGTGTCAGGAAATCACGGATGGTAAACCAGAGAGAGGTGAAGTCAAATAAAAGTACCTGGTACTGAAGAGGATCCCTGAGAAGGAAAAAAAAAAAAAAAAAAAAACTGCCTAGAAAATATGCCATATAATCAAATTAAGAGCTTGGGTTGTGGAGCCAGACTGCCCGTCTGGATTTGCATCTTGCTTCTGCCTCTTATTATGGATCACTGGATAATTTATTTAATGTCTCTGTCCATTCCTCGTCTATAAAATGGGTGAAACCTGGTATTGTGAGAACCCAGGAAGCTACTGCATCTAAAGCATTCAGGCTGGTGACAAACACACACAAGAAACGCTCCATAAAGATTAGCTGCTGTGTCGTTGTCACTATTCTCACTGCTACAACCACCTGTGCTGTGAGACTCCCCGTCAGCCAGCTCCAAAGATAAACTTCTTTCTATTAATGAGGTTGTTAACTCAATGCATTAAGTATGATCTCTGACGATATGGCCTTAAAGAAAGTCAAAGTGCCCCTTTCATCATCCAACCCCACTGCTTTTTAACAAGGCACACATGGGACCAAATCCCAACCTCCCCTGCCCCCACCACTTACTTGACTTGGGCAAGTCAGAACCTCTGTGAGCCTCAGTGACTTCATTGATAAAGTGAGACAGCAAGAGCCTCCTCCCAGTGTAGCGGGTGAAGACGACACGAGATCACACACGCCAAGTGTCTGACACAGTCAGCCCTCTGGTATTTTCCACTTCTACTTCCCCTGCCTGCCCCACACTCCACCATGAAGGCTCAGAACCAACCCAAGTGTGTGGGGGGGAAAGGAAGAAACGACCATGGAGCTCTTTGGGAAAGGTGAAGTGCTAACTGCATAAATATTTAATAGGGGAGGATGGTAACATGAAGAGGGATGGACTCTCCCTCGTGCATTCAGCCACTCCCTGGGCGGTGGTGTGTGGCCCCAGCACCCACTGGGCTCTCTGCAGCCCCCAGAGGACCTGGCAGTGGAGGGAGCACATCACTGCTCACCTCGGAGAACAGGCCACGTGGCCCACAGCCCCTCCCCACAGGCTCCTGCGCCACTGTGCCCCTTCTCGCTCCACAGACTAGTTCGGCACAAGCCACAGAGACCTGAGACATGCCTCAGAGTAGACCCTCACCCCTAGCTCTCCAGCTACATTTTCCACCCAGGAGGAATGAGATGGTGTGATGGAAAATGGAGAGACCTCTGGAAGCTGAGAAGATCGAGGCCCACCAGCCCTGGCAAGCTCGGTTTTCCACTTGACAAGCTGGTTCACTGCCATCGTGCCTCCTAAGTTACTGGGAGCCTGTGTTTCTCCACAAAGAAACCACAACAGGGATACAAACATCTCCATCGTTTCAGTGTTGGATGAATTTTTCACATAGGTGCTAGTAAGGACAAAGCCTGGCTCCCAAGAGGAACTTAACACATTTCTACCCCTTATTCTCTTTAGAAACACCGTAAGTTCATCGAAATCCAAATAACTTGAATCTTTGCTGAGCTAATTCCTGAGCCATTCCTTACGTGCTCCAGCCTTAGATTCCAAACAGGGACAGAAGCAAGAAAGTATTAGGAACTGATTCAAAAAGGCAATGTCAGGCACCGAGCCTACCTTCTACAGCTGCAGAACCATGTGGCAGGCGCCGTGGCTCACAACAGCGAGCTTGAGGGCCCGAGGAGACCACAAAATGCACAATTACAACTAGAATGTCCTAGTCAGTGAGACAGGCAAGTGTGTCCCTCAGCATTCCCACAACAAGAAGTCATACAAAATGGGGTCTCTGCTTAACCCTCCATTAACCCAAAAATCTACTTAAGCAGCACAGCATCTTCTTTGAGCTTCTTGCTGCCCAGGCTTAGGCTGTAACTGCCCAAGGAACCCCTTCCCATCATTTATACAACTTGTTTGTTCCAAACTCTGGTGCAGAACAGGGTTTTCATGGGGTTAGAAGAGGCCAAGGGGGAGCTCAGACAATACCACTATCACCATATGACGGGGTGGAGCAGACAGGTTGGTGAGTGAGTAGAAAAGTCCTCTTTGCAAGGCGTTCAAACCATCTTTGCAAAATGGGCAGGTCACAGAGTCAGAAAGTCGTCTTTGTAAGTCATGTCTCATCCACACCACCCTTCACAACGAGGGTGCCTGCCCTTTCCTACTCAGGGGCCCAGCGTCCATGGCAGGGAAGCTGGGCCCATAGCCTGGGCTCCACCTTCCACCAGCTTCCAGCCAAGGAGGAGACGGGATACACACCAGGGACACCAGGAAAGCACAGATACCTACCCCCTCCCATGCATTAGGAAAAGGGTCTAACGAAGGAGCAAGCACTCCCCTCTCCCACCCTGGGAAAGGGCATGGGGGAAAAAACACAAGCATTCAAACCCTGGGTCCACCCTTTACCAGCTGCATGACCCTGGGCTAGTCATAGTCTTTCCTGGGCTTGTGAAAGGCTCATAAAACCAGCGACCCCAAGCACCTGCCACGAGGGAAATAACTCAGTAAGGGACTCTCCCGTTCCCTGTCGTGCTCAACATTCCTTAGCTGCCAACAAGGGACAATGGTCCCTCCTCCATGGTGCTGTCGCAAGAATTTAGGAGATGACATTAAGTAAAGAGAGTCTAAAAAGACAAGACAACTAAAAGCGGTTTGCAATCCCTGATTGGATCCTGGTCTGGAAGGAAGAAAAGAAGAAAAACTATGAAGGACATCATAGGAACAACAGGGGAAATGCTGGCAGCATTCCGCAGTGGTGTTGAATTCCTGGGGCCCAACAGCAGTGTCCTGGTTGGACAGGAGAGGGTCCCTGTTCTTAGGAGGCACACACTGGATGGAGGACCTAGAGGCAGGAGATCCGACCCCTGCCAGTGACCCTCAAATGGTTCAGAAACAACAACCCAAACCAAACACAGGGAGAAAATGAAGAGGGTAAGAGGTCAGCCATGGACAAGCCAGACCAGCAAACGGTCCTCTCACAGCCACCTACAGATCTGAAATTTCTGCAGCTACAAAGCAGGACCACTGAGGGCTCAATGTGCATCCCTTCTCCGTCCCCACGTGTGGCACCCATGGCAAGCCCCCACCCCCCATGCTGCTGACCTGGCTGCAGCACCCTGATCTCCAGGAGGTTGGAGGTCCGCTCGGCCAGCCGCGTCCAGGTGTTGTTGTAATTCCTCCGCCACAGCTCGGCCACACACTGGTACTTGCCCGCCTCCGTGTCGCTGGCCCGGCTGATGCTTAGGCGCACGTTGTTGCTCGACTCGGCCTTCTCAATGGCTGTTCGGGTTCGGAAGCTGGAGGACCTGTCCCCCCACTGGACTCCTCCATCCCGGGTGAAGGTCACCAGGTCATGGAACTCGAGGGTGCCTACCGGCTGGAACCGCCACGTCACTGACACGGGGACCCGGGCCGGGTAGTGGGGTTTGATGATGCACTGCAGGTCGAAGGAGTCACTGTAGGTCACGCCCGGCGTGCGGGAGATAGCTGTGACAGCGAAGCCCATTTCTGCAGAGAGAGTAGAGACTCCAGCTGTGGGAGGGAGGGGGGACACCTGGCTTTCTCAGGGCAGCGTGCCACAGTGATGGGACTGCTGGCAAAGCAAACGGAGCACTGCCAAGGCTCTGGGTCTCTCCTGATGCCTGGACCACGGCTACTTTGGCTCTCACCTGGAAGCACAAGCCCAGAAGGTCACAAGACCCTGCGGACAGAGGCCAGAGGTAATTCTCCTTGAGCAGCACTGAGCAAGTCCCTCCGAGTGAAACCTTCATTTCCATCTGCCTCCCATCAGTCCCCTCGTAGGAACTGAGGTTTGTAGGCAGAGCTCATCCTAGAAATCTTGGGATCCCAGGCTGAAACAGGAGAAAAGGGGTGCCTGGGTGGCTCAGTCAGTTAAGCGTCTGCCTGCATCGGGCTCCCCGCTCAGTAGGAAGTCTGCTGCTCCCTCTCCTTCTGCCTGCAGCTCCCCCTGCTTGTGCTATCTCTCTCTAAAAAATAAAATCTTAAAAAAAAAAAAAAAAAAAAAACCAGGAGAAATAAGCCCCCAAGCCAACTTCATTCATTGCCTGCAAGGTGGACACAGCCTCCAGCCCCGAAGCCTCGCCTGTCTGCTCTGCAGCACATCGGGGCTGGAGAACGTGAAGTCAAGTAGCAGGACATGTCCCAAGCTCCTGGGCCAGGCAGTGGAGGTTCACTCACCCGCCCTTCTTTCACTTTCCTTGCGAAATTCAAAGGAGATAGGCAGTGAGGGAGCCACAGTACATGGCCAGACCTCGAGCAGGGGGGACTTGGGGTGAGGTGGGCTTCTCTGCTGTCACAGTAGGCTGTGAGGCTCCCAATACTCCTCACGGACGGCCAGCTGACTAGTCCCTGACCCCAGCTCCTCAATGGGGGCTATCTGACTTCCCTCACCTTGAAACACCACATAACATTAATACACTGGTTGTGATCATAAAACCAGGGCCAGCCAGCATTTACGGAGCACCATGCGCCAGGCATGCTGCCAATGGCTGTGCTTCCGCCACACTTCACTGAATCCTCAAAATGACCTCGTAGGACAAGAAGGCACACCATCCATTTCTTATGGGTAAGGAAGGGGCATAGAGAAGTAAAATGGATTGCCCACGGTCAAGCTGCTGGCCAGGGGCAGGTAGGCGGTGTTATCCATGGGAAGGGGTTAAAGGCACAAACCCCTGGGCCAGATGCCTGATGGTGACACTTTCTAGCTATGTGACAGCAGCAAGTTACTTCACTTCTCTCCACCTCTATTTCCCCACCCGTAAAATGGGTCCTTGTGAGGATGAAATGAGTTAATATTTTGCAACGTACTTGGCATGGAATAGTACCTGGCCCACGCTCTATTCTGTCATATATGTCATTGGCTGAAGAAACAAAATGCACATAAAGGAAAGTACTTCAGATTCCATGGGTAAAAGACCAGGCACAGAATGAGTTTTTTAGATTTGTGTGGGGCGGTTAAGACAGCAAATAGGTCGGCATAATCTCCTGAAAACTCTGGATTTTCAGTTTGGATTTCATAAGCTATCTTTATGTATCCTTTAAAAAAAAAGTTAAGACCCAGAGACCCAGCCTTAAGCCTGAAGGGGTTGTGGTGGTCACTTGGGTCTCTGCATGCAGTATATGTTGCCCTGAGGGTGGGGGAACATAGGACCTCAGGGAGAGGCCATGCACCAGGGACTCCTGGCCTCAACACCCTAAGGGGAGAAAGCTTCTCCAGGCAAGGGACTCTGTCCAGGCTTGACAGAGCACACGCCAGGATCACGGAGCACGGCGCAGCCAGCTTACTCTAACTGAATGGTCATGATGGGCCAGGGCAGCTGGAGGGTGTTCCCACCTGTCATCTTCCCGGGGCGCCTGCTGAGAGCCAGCCGTACCTAACTGCGCCAATATGAAAACTCATGTAGGTCACGATCTAGACTGACAGGCAACGTGACCCCACAGTGCCCTCCACTTTCCCTGCCCTAACCCCCTTGGGCCGCCCTAACTATGGCTCTGGCCAGAGGCGCCTCAGAGGTAGAGAACAGGGAAGTAGAACCAAGCCCTGGGATCCCAGGTCAGAGCCCCTGGTGACCCTGACTGTGAGAACCACAGACATAAGGTGAGAAGGAAAATTCTCAGGGAATTAGTGGATTCTGTGAGGTGACCTCTGGAGAAGTGCTCCGGACAAATGTTAACCACTCCTTGGATGTCCCTAACCTCATGATGTGGGGAAAAATGACCATGACTGGAAAGTCAGACGTTTCCTCACAGGTGGCATCCCCAAAGGTCCACACTGGTGCTGACTGAGCCGGGGGGCAAACTCAACCAGTGGATGAAGTTTCCACAGACGGAAATCTGAGCAATATGATGACTGCAAGAAGTAGGCCAGTCTTGGGGATTAAGCTTTTAGGAAAAAAAGTGTATTTGTAATCTTGGGTGGATAGTATATTTGTAATCTTCCATTGAGGGAAAAACCAGCCGGGGCTACCATCGTTATGGGTGTGTGTCTAAAGGCGCCACCAGCTCTACCTATGAGGACAGTGGACAATGTAGTCCCAGGGAGTGGGACACAAAGCCACTGAGGACAGCTGATGTCACAGCTGTCCTCATACACAGGACGACCTAACAAGACAACAAGTAGCCGACTGGCCTTTTACAATTTAATATGCTCCTCATATTAAGCAGATAAACATTGATAGAAGCCTCTTTCACGGCCCCATAAGAAGCAAATCTAATTCTCTGGTTTTAGCAAATCTCAAGGTATCTTTTAATTTCATGCTAATGAGGAAGTGGCTTTCCTAAGAAGGTGCCTTACAGAGGGAGAGATGAAAGCACAGGCTTTTGAAAGAAAAGTGGAGAGACTTTTGGCTGTCCTGGTCTGGATGATGGGTCGGTCCTTTAAAAGCTGTGACCCTGGGCATATGAGGTAACCCTTCTCACTCAGTTTCCTTGTAAAATCGGGTTTAGCCCTTGGCTAGGTGAAAATTCAAAGGGACAATTGAGCTTAAGTGCTTAGACTCAGCCAGGAACATAGTAAATGCTAAATAAAGGGCGAAAAGAGGTATTTTCTACCCTTGAATGTGCTGCTCTGGCCTTTTGAGAAGGGCTGAGCCCCTGGGCTGCAGGGCAGGAGAGCCTGGGGGCAGGCGAGAGAGGCTCTGCTCTGGGGGGTGGCCGGTTTTGGCAGTGGCCACGTTCCTCCACCTGGGGCCACCACTCCTGCTGGGTGGCCTCAATCCCCTGGCCAGAGTTCTGCCAACTTCACTCCTTCCACGCGGACCCAGGAAGGTTGAATGCCCCCAGCTGCCACCAGTCCCCAAGGCCCTACAACCCTACCCACACTTTGGTAACAGGCCCTTCAATTAAACCCTTCAGAAGGTGCCACCGTTTCCTGCCAGAACTCTGATGGAAGTCAGGATGAGGTTCTTGACAGGGGAGCAGTCTCCCCACTGCCCCACCGAAAGACCGCCAGATGCTGCCTTACCGAGAGCCGTGATGGAGACGGGGGTGCTGGCCCGGCGTTCCCCGACGATCTGCCACTCGCCGTCCACAGCCCGCACCCACTCGGTCACGTGGCACTCGTACTGGCCCTCGTCCTCCTTCTTGCTGTTGAAGATGCCCAGGCTGAACGAGCTGGGCTGCACCTGCTCCATCTGGACGCCCCCGAAGCTGCTGCGCTCCCAGTAGGACGCGCCCGGCTGCACGGTGCCGTCCCGGTCTAGCCACATGATGTTGCTGCGGCGGTTCTGCCGGTCCACCAGCTGCCAGATGACGGAGAAGCGGCCCTGCGGCCGGCCCGCTGTGCGGACGCTGCAGGAGAAGTGCAGGTTCTCCCCCTCCAGGATGACACTGGCGTTGCTGGCCACCTCCACAGAGATGCTGCTCTCTGGAAAGAGGGAGAGAGGGCCACGCTGTGGCTTTCAGGCCGCTCCCGCCCCCTCCCCATAGAGGGGAAAGGAGGACAGGGGCAGAAGTCATGCTATGCAGGTGCCGGTCACCTGGAGGGTCAAAGCCTCCAGACACTTGCTGCCACTGTGAGCCCTGGCTGCTTCTGGGCACTACCCCGCAGATTTTAAGATCCATAAACTCAGAGGCCCTTAGCTGGGTGCCAGGGTAATGTGTGGGATAAAGAGGGTCTGAGACCAGAGACCGAATTAGGTCCTAAGAAACACAAAGCAATGACCTTACTCTTGGGGCATAAAGGCATTTATCAGGGAATCTGCTCAGCTGGGGTTCAAGGATTTTTCCACTTGGGAGTTTGAGTACGCGGAGTGACTCTGGAATTCTACTTCACCTCCATCTTCCTGCCATTTGGTGATACGGCAGGCAAATAAATGCTGGACATCTGTAACACGTCACTAGAGCCCTTCAAGGCAATATTAGCAAGCAGCACAAAAACGATGGGACATACTTGGAAGATAAACATGAGCTTGCTTGGGTGTGGGTTAAAATGGTACAGGCGTCTCATTTCACAGAGGGGTGGAGAGTACGCTCTCATCCTTCTCATTAACGCAGAGGAACAGGCCAAGGCCACCAGCTCTCCATCCTGCCACCTACGTTCAGCCCTGGTTCCATGGCTGCAACCTCAAAACCTCCTGCCAATCAAAGTTCAGGCAAAGGATCCACTTCCCTTCACTCCTTCACTACTCACTTAGTTTGCTGACATCACTCAGTCAAATTATTTCAACTCTACGTGCTTTGTCTCTAAGATAGGGACAGTGACATTTCTACTATGCATTTTTTTAAAGATTAAAAAGGAAGTAAGACTACTCATTTAAGTCACCCAACACACTGGAGGATTCCAAAAGGTGGTCACAGTGATCATGATTAACTATTCCTAATAACTTCTGTTTTTATAAACATCCTGGATGTTCAAACCTGTCTTCATTATGCATACATTCTTTTATCTACACTGAGTTTTAAAAACCCACAAATATTATAGAATACAAACACCATAACAAATTCGGCTTCAGTTTTCCAGGTACCACCCACATGAAACACAATGATTTAAAATCAATCAATGAAATCAAATTCCAGATCAAGTGGCACACCCAATCACAGAGGAGGGACCCACAGACACCCATCACCATGTAGTGAATCGATCTCTTCCCGTATTTCTCCCACAGACAGAAACAGACAAAGATGAGCACTGAGCCCCAGCAGCTAGTTCGTGCTATGGCGAGGGTGCCTGCTCTCCATTCTGGACTGGCTTGTTCCATGTGAAAAATCGATCTGGGTGGGGTGGGAAAGAGGACTTTTCCCAGGAGCCATATGAAGATGATTTACGGAGATGGGGAGGCTCCCGGTTAGCCATCATCCACGGCACTAAGAAGCCCTAAAAACATGGATTTGGAGGCAAGCAGATGGGAACTCTAGGCCTGGGTTCACTGCTTCCTAACTCTGTAATCTGGGGGCTCTTCTTCAACCTCCCCACGCTTCCATTTCTCTTGTGCAAAATGGAGGCGCTAAGAGTTCCTAATTCTCGGGGTCACACACTGACAGCACGGTCATCCTCATTAATGATAATTCCTCTTTAAGTTAAAGACCCATCCCTAGCAAGATCGTTCCACGTGGGGAATTGAAAGGACAACTCCGCATGAAGCGATAAAAGTCCCTTCGCTTGCCTCCAGCAGAATGACATGCAGGGCGTCCCTGCCATTCCCTTTGGCCACCCCAGCAGACTCTTCCAGAAGTCCTGGCTGGGTTCCGGTGGGGAATGCCTGGAAGAACCGCACGGTGAGATGGGGCCCTCAGAGAAGAAAAACCAGGCTGGCAGGCCGGGTCCAAGGCAGATAAGAACCCAGGGGCTACACTGCCTGTTAAGACTAGTTCTGAGCACTCCTGGGCCTGAGAAAAAGGCAGCCGACAGTGTAGAACTCTCTGGATTAAGCGAGAACTAGTACAGACTAATGAGAATCCGACGGCACGGGCGCCGGTGAAATGTCCCATCAGGAGGTAGGTGAGACAGCACAGGCTAAGCACGGAGCAGTGGGTCTGGAGCTGGAAGCAAATGTTCCTGACGCCACGCACACTCAGCCGCTCATGGGACTGGCCCTGCCACATCTCTGCACGGTGCTCTGGCTTCTTCCTTCCTAGGATGGATAGGATTGTGGCCTCTGCAGAGATTTCAGGGATGGGAGCACAGGAAGAAGTGATCTATGCGGAAGCACTTGGGCTCTCGGAAGGAAAAGCGCCATTAAAATCCAAGGTATTATCACCATTCCCGATGTGATCGCTGTACTTTGGTAGACTTACCCAAGTGGCCTTGGGGCAGGATCTGGTGGTGCTGAGGGACTTTAACTACCCAGTTATCTGCTGGAAAAGCAATATAGCAGGGCCACAGATCATCAAACAAGTTCTTGGAAGGGGTCGGGGGAAATCTCTTAGTACAAAAGACACAGGAAGTAAAACAGCGTGGCTGCCCTTCCCTGGATCCTTACAGCACAACGAGGAATTAGTTGCAGATTTAAAGGTAGAGAGTCCGTGGTTAAGGCAAGCACAAACCGACAGAAAACAGTCAGGAGAGTGGGCGTTCGATTCAAACATTTCGACTCTACAAATACTCAGCAAGCACGTTCCCTACGCAAAGCACCATGCTAGGCATTGCAAGGAAAAAAATAAGAGTCTAAGAAACAAAATAATTTTGAGATTATTAGATGTGTGAGAGAGATTTTAAAAAATAAATAAGGACGAAAGAAAGGAATCCCATGGGTGAGAAAAGAGAAAAGTGGCAAGACCCCTCTGTCTACTTTATCCTTCTTGCTTGTGGAGAACTATATTAAAAATGGAAAAGGGAAAATCAAAGCATAGAGGGAACCATTAACAAGGATAAGGGAAAGAACAGTTGGAGCAGTTGAGAAAAATGTTAGAGGTTAGTTTAAAAACTTCACTGTCTTGTTTAAAAATCAGGGCATGGTAAGCTTTAACTCTTTTTAGTAAAAACAGAACTATGAGAGAACTGAGATGTTAATAACGTCCCGATCCTAGGGGATGAGTAAACATGGTAGGAGCAAACGCGGGTAGTGTCCCCAGTTCCCAGCCGCAACAGCTCCCCGCCCAGATGAGGCCAGCTTCCCTGGAAACAGGAGCCTGGCCAGAGCCTTGGAAACCAGCTAAGCTTTCACAGGAGGGCTATGCTCCAGGAAGACTGGAGAGGTCCCATCCACTGACTTTTGAAAACACAACTTCAGTAGGGAAGAGAACCTTAGGGAAATGCCAATTCTTATACGCAAAAACCCAGACAGCAAATCCTTTTAAATAAGGGGCTTTATGACTGAAAATCCTCCCATTAAAGACCAACCCTTGGAAGTGATATTTCAAGGTAGGCATCTGCCCACTTCTTCTGGGCACTTGATTCCCATGTGGGAGCAAAGAGTCATTCCCAGATTCCTGATTTTCCTCCCAGCTGAGCTGGCCCAGCCAGCATTTATAGAGGGCTGCTAACGCTCAGCTCTGGGATGCCCCTTCCAGCCTGCAAACACACCCCAGTGCTCTGAGTCACTGGGGGGGAGCGGGGGGTGTGTGCTAAGTGTGGGCAGGCAAGCTGGAGAAGGGAGAGAGAAAGATTAGCAGGTTTCTCTGCCAGCGCTGACTGAACCCTTGGGTTCCACGAACCCCCACCGCCAAATACCTCATCTGTCCCCCAACTTTTCAATGATGCCAGCTACAGACCAGACGGGGGTGGAGAGGGGGGAGGAGAGGTGGCAGCACATCTCTCTACTTACTGATGGGGAGGACTATGATGGGGATGTTCTTGGGCCGCTTGCTCTCCTTGTCAATGAACTCCCCGGTGACCGTCTTCTCTCTCTCTGTCACACGACAGTTGTATTTCCCACTGTCTTCCTGGCGGAGGTGGTAGATCTTGAGCACAAAGACACCGTCGCTCTCCTTGGCCACTTTGAGCTGGCCCCTGGCTTCCCGATGGGCGAATTCACTGTTGAGGACTGGCACAGCATTAGGCCCCATGCTGGCGATGAGCGAGCTGTTGAAGGCCCAGGACACAGCGAAGTAACGGTCAGGAACGTTCTGTGCCTCTAGGATGCATCTGAACTCCGCCGGCTCACCCACCGTGTACAGCCGCTTCTCAGTCTCCAGCCGAACGGTGAACTCTTTGTCTAAGGAAACCAACAACAAAACGGATACATTCTGGGTGAACACAAGGACCCCCAGCTACCCCAACGGTATCCGCAAATTCCCACTACCAGGGCCTTCTGGGGGCATGCTAACCATAGGGAAGGCACGTCCTTGCTAGTCTTGGGAGAAAAATCCAACCCACGCCCAGGGCTGATCTGAGGACCCGAGAAACTCCTGAATATCTCAGAGAGAACTCAAAGGTAGCTAGACCCAGACAGTCTAAGGGGCTCATCATCCCAGTTGAGACGGAGGGGACTCTGTAGATTATGATGTCCAGGATTAGACCCCAGAGGTCAATAAGGAATATCATTCCTGACATCACTTACCCAGGTCTAGCTCTCACCTATACCCCCCGAAACTCCCATTTAAGCAACAGGCCTACAAACATTTTCTGCCGGTGTGGCAGGACCCACACCATGGAAATGTGAGAGACGAAGTTACACGGGAGCCTAGGCACTAAGCCCAGTGCTAAGAAATATTCGAAAATGTACCGATAACTGAGATATGTTCTTAGTCCCCTGTGCACGCTGGAAATAAGACACAGGTAATTACTACAATCCCGCACACAAAATTCCACAAAGTGAAAATGAATGTCTCTCCACCAGTCACCACCTGTCAGATCAAATCTCGAGAAGGAGGGAGAGGGAAGATACCAAGTTCTGCTGAAAGTGAATGACCTCTGAGATGATCAGTGAGGCCAAGCACCCTCCAGAGAGCTGGCTGTCTGATCGGGAAGGAGCAGATGCTCAGAGAGGGAAAGGCTCATGGCCGCAAATAGTGTCCCATAGACAGTGAGACACTCACCGCCCCTCATGGGCACCCATGGCAGAAGTGGGGGCTGAGACGAAGGATGAAGGTTTGCAGAAAACAGAACCACGAGGCCTTGGGTAGGAGAGCTGGAGCTAAGTCCCTCCTTCTTTCAGGTCTAGCTCTGTCCCCCTGAAGATGGGAAATCACAATCCAGGTATGTTTGAATTACTCATAGACCTGTTAGCTCTGACCTCGACTACCTTCCGTATGCTGGCATTTCCAAGCTTCTACCACTAACTTTGTGACCTTTGCCCCATTTTTGTCCCCCTGTCCTATGCACCCTTCGAGCAGATAAAAAATTCTATTTTCCCTGAGAAATCACAGGCATCACAAGTATGCATCTTTGACATCCTTTTTTCCAGTCCAAACTCGGGTTTTCCTCTCCCTGTTCCTGAGGCTCTCAACCACCTCCCCGCCCCTCCCACATGGGCTGGTGTCTTGCTCCAAATATCCATATTCTTCAGCAAATTAACTCCTCCCCTTCAGGATCCCAAATTCCTGACAAAGCAAACCCCAATCAACGACTCCCAGGGGCTCACCTCCCAGGGGACAGCTGCTGCCTCAGCTTCCTCTTCCTCAAAGACCAGTCCTAAGAGGTGGGAACTGAAGTGAGTTTCTCTCTGTCACCCCCTGCCCAAAAGGGACGAACCAAAAGGGAACTGTGCCTGTGTTATCGGCCAGACAGTGGCTCTGTGGTAAACCCAATTACAGTAACTTGACATCAATGATTTAAAAAAAAAGAAAAAAAAGGCACGCCTTCCAGATAAATCGCACGGAAGACATGCAAACAGATGCCTGAGACCTCAGAACTTTCCATTTCCATTTCCTCAGAGTTAGGCTGGCTATACCTGTGGCTTTCTACTTGTGGCAACCAGAGACTCTTCTACTCTTGCGGGACAACCCCATGGTTTAGTGAAGCTTGATGTTCCCAGGTCGAAGACACAAGACTTACAGTATACCACCGCCTTCCTGTGCAGCTGGCCCTTGGGGATGATGCCCAGTCAATTATTGATTTCTGCTTTTTCCAATGCCCCTCACTCTTCAACTTCCTGAAGTTTGGCTTCTGGCCCCTCTCCCAAACTTCACTGTCTTAGCAAATGTCCTCAGTGATTCCCCTGCCCACCCTGACCCCGACCCATTGCACCAAAGGCTTCTCTCAAGCAGGTTTCAGACCCACTCTCCTCCCTTGGGTTCCATGACGCCTTCCTTCCTGATTCTCCTCTTGCTTGACTGACCCCTTGGTTTCTTTCTCTTTCTCACCGAGACCTGCTCCTCTGACCTCTCACTGCTGCTGTTCTCCTGGGCCTTTGCAATTACCACCACACGGCTCCTCCCAGGCCCTCATCCCTCCCAGGCTCAGCACGGACAGTGCTTTTACGTACTGAGCATCTCTGTAAGCTTCTGCGTGAAGGATGGAGTCCTGGACTGAAACTGACAAAAACAGAAGAAAAGACAACCAGGGCTGCCACCGACTGGGAAGCAGAGGCTTTGAAGCAGGACTTTGTTCTTAATACCTTTTCTTCCCCTTCCCTCCCCATCCCAATTCAAGGAATCACCCAGAGCCCTGGCCTCAGGGTGCCCAGTATATGGATTCCTGCTCCATGTGGTGCTCCCCATTCTTCTGTCTCTAGCACCTGCTGCCTGCTTTCCAGACTGCCGCCCACCCACCCTGGTCTCAGAGCTCTCTCCTACCTGGTCCCTCCACGGCAGGACCGACCTGTTTAATCAACCTCCAGCTGGCCTCTGGGGTTCTCTCCTTCTGGAACCCAGAACTCATTGTGTCACTCCTTGCTTTAAAATCTCTATTTCCCCCTACAAGTGTCTGAAGCAGTGGTTTTCAAACAGTCCTCGGGAGCGAGCAGAGGAAAGGGCAGTTTCTTTATGTAAAATCTTCTGCTGCCCAACATAGAAAACATTTGGTTAAGGGCAGTGAGGGAACACTGTGGCCCTCAGCGTGCCTTCCTCCACCACCTCCTGGCAGGCACCTCTAAGGGGGCTCCCAAGACCCCAAGAAGGACAGCTTGCAAACACTGGGGCTATCGAGTCAAGGCCAAGCTCCGCACTCCAGCATGTGGGGCCTCAGGCCTCCTCTCGTCACTCATTTCTGGGCCTCAACCTCTACCCATGCCGGACTCCTGTCTGCTGGCCAAACATGGGACACATTTTTGTGCCCTTAAGCTTGCCCCTCTGGTGTCTCCTCAAGCTTCAGACTCAGCTCCACTTGCCCTCCTTGCTGGTTTTCCTGGATTCGCCTTCACTCTCCCATCCAGGGAAAACTTCAGGTCACCAGGGCACTGCCTAGTTACTGTGTCCCAGAGCACCATCCACATAGCATCACAGACCTCAGGACACCCCACTGAGCCACTGGCCTTCACAGCTGCCCCTTCCCTGAGGGGAGGCCCCAAGAGCTGTTCATCTTCAAATCCCCAGCAGCTCTCGCCGGACCCTCACTGCCACAGAGACTCACTGAATGTTTACCGAAAGGAACTAAGGGAAGGGCCAGATGGGGCTGCAACCGTGGAACCTGAAAAGCTTGGGGGCACCGAGTAAAGTCATCAACGTTTTTTTTGCATCTAGTTTTCTCTTGGCTGGCTTAGTCTGAATACATTTGCTGGGCAAATTCAAAAAGTCCTAATCCCAAATTGGTAAGATTAAAATAAAGAAGATTAACTGATGCCACCTAATTTGAAAGCATTAAGATTCAAAATTTGGTCCAGACTTCTGAAGCTGATCTTAAAGCCAACCAGAAAGGGAAAGGATAAATACGAAATGAAGTGCCTTCCCCAGATGTCTTAGTACTGGAAGATCCAAAAGCTGCTAACGGCTCTGGGCCCGACAGAGCAGATAAAGCACTCTCTTTCCCAGAGCCGATCCTTCTCATGAAAGCCCATCGGCGGTCCAGAGAATCCCTTCTGCCCTATTACCTGTAGAGCTGTGCCGGACAACATAGACAGCAGAAGAATCACCTGGGATGTGTACTGGAATTCCAGCTTCCCAGCCCCCCTAGCCCCGCCCCAGCAACCTGATTCAGGAATCTGTACCATTGGGTAGATTGGAAGCACTGCTCTACAGGGACACAAGAAAAAGTGGCAGAAGGCCAAGACCCCTGACTGTGTGTAGCAAACAGGACAGCGAGGTCAAGGTCAGGTCCTGAAGATGAGACCCCAAATGTACCATAGCTCATCTCCCATAAACCACACCTCCAACCGCAGCTCCTCCTGGAGGTGAGGAACAACACAGGAACGTCCTCAGGCTGCTTACTGCACCTCGATGATGGCTCGATGACCAAAGTCAGGGCACTGAAGGTCTCGTGGAGGGTCTGCTGCTGCCCAGCCAAGGCAGCCCTCGATAGACATTAGCTCTGATCTGGAGCATGGCTGGACTCGGGGGCACGGGGCAGTCGGAGAGTGTGGGGAGTCAGAGAGGATCTCTGCTCATGGTGTCAGCATCTTCTCACCCCAGCTATAAACATGTCAACTCAGCCTCCTCAGGGAGTCCCCTTACCAGGTCTTTCACCAGTGAAAGCCCTTATGGGAGAATCTGACACTCGCCAGGCGGACTTTGATGCCATGCCCTGGGACTTCTGCCGGGGCCCCACCATAAAGCCATTGCCCTCGGCATCTGCCCCACCACTGCAGAAGTACTAGGTGATAAAGCATTCTGGAAATTATAAAACACCACCAAGGACATAGTATTAATATAGGAAATCATAATTTAAGCCAAAATTTCCCTAGATCATAATTTCAGACCTCTGATGGAAGGCTCAGAATCTCAAATGTCTTCTACAAATAAAATAGGACTGGTCACCGAAACAGGTAATATCATCAAAGCGGGGGGGCAGCCCCTGGGAACCCAGTTCATTAGATACAAAACAGTTTATGTGAAATCTTCCAATTTTTAAAAATGAACCTGTAGTTCAAGAAAAATATCAAATACCCCGTGGGTCCAAGAAACCCTGTCTGTAAGCCAGATTTGGGCTGGCTGGCTCCTCTCCAAAAGTCACTAGAAGGTCAGATTTTAGGCAGGCCCCTCTATGTTCCTAGTACTTTCAAAGGTCCCCAGAGAAGGAGTCTGCACCTTCTCCCAGCATCAAACAACCCTCCCCACCAGCAAGAACAAGAGAGACACTGACCTGTGGGCTGGACGTTGACCACAGTACCCTCGGACCGCTTTCGGGTCATGGCGTACCACGAGCCATCCGGGTCCTGGATCCACTCGGCAGCCTCACAGTAGAACTCGCCCTGGTCGGAGGGCTGCAGGTGGAAGACGGTGAGGCGGAACGTGGAGCTCCCCAGCTTGTCCAGCCGCACCTCCCCCAGGCTCTGCCTCTGGGCGTACTCGCTGCTGGAGTGCAGCACGAAATCTCGGCTCAGGGCAATGACCTCTGCGGGCTTCTCGCCCCCTCGCTGCCGGAGCCAGGCCACTGACAGGTGGCTGTGCTGGAACGTCTCCGTGGTCACCTCACACGTCAGCTCCAAGGGGTCCTGCTCCACTTTGTGCAGAGTCTGGGGCACGGCCGTGGTCTGCAGGGTGTCAGGAATCACTGCAACACAGAAATGTCCCGGGCGCACGGTCCCAAAGCTGCAGAACCTCACCCTTGCCGGGGGACCAGCCACTGACCCCACACGGCCTTCAGCAGTCACTGGGAGGCCTCGGTCAACCCCGGACGGCACAGAAACAGAAGGAGTTTCCTGCATGGATTTGGACTGCAATTTTTTGGCACTTAACGCTTACCTGTTTGGTATTTTAATAACACTTGGCTAACACAGGCGGGATGTACTTCGTTTCTCATAGTAAATGAACTCCCTAAAAATACCGTGTCAACAAGAATTCTCTTTTAGGCCAAATGAGATTTTGTTGTTCCTTCTGGTACTGCTTCAAGATACTTTCGCTTGGCTTCTGACTGATCCTCAAAAGGAAATAGTTCCTAGAAGTTGCATTTTCACATGTCTGTGCACCTCGCTGACTTCCTCCCCTCTCACTGCCTCACCCCCACGTTCCCCCCAACTCACTTCAGCAATGCAAAGCTCTAGCAAGGCTACGTTGTAAAAAAAAAAAAGAAAAAAGAAAAAAAGTCTTTGGCAGAGGAAAGCAACAACCACCTTGATGATCAGGTAGGTGGAATTTTCCTATAATTCATGTGTCAGAGGGGTCCGTGCTGGAAGGAAGCCTCAGAACATGGCCCCATGGCCCCTTGGTCAGAACTGCACTCTGGGGACACCTGGGTGGCTCAGTGGGTTAAGCCTCTGCCTTCAGCTCATGTCATGATCTCAGGGTCCTAGGATCAAGCCCCACATCGAGCTACCTACCTCTCTGCTTACTTGTGATCTCGCTCTCTGTCAAATAAATAAATAATAAATAAATAAATAAATAAATAAATAAATAAAACCTGTACTCTGGAGACTCAACACCCCCCTTCTTGGCCTGGGGCCACCCCAGTCACAACCAGTGTGTGTTTTCTTACTGAGCTCATCTCAGGCCTGGGTCTCACAGGCCTCTCGATAGGATGCAGACCGACAGAAAGGAAAAGCAAGTTTGGTGTGGGGTGGGGAGGGGAGAACTCAGTGTGGACAGCACTGGGGTGTAATGTTCACCCATGTGGAAGGTCAGCAATAACAAAGCTATTCTGTTTTTCTGCTCAAGACATAATTTCCAAGCAGAACTGTGATAATAAAAACTGGAGATTAAGACTTGGGCGGAAAAAGAAAAAAAAGTCTTTGGCCTTGATATGGTTGACCCTTCCAAATCAGCAAGCCTGGTGGCCTACAGCCGTCCACACTGAAATCTGTCCTCTCCCACCAGCAACCTCCAAAATTCAGGGGGTACTAGGGCCAAGGGAGACAGCTGGTGCACAATCCCTTGCTTGTGCAGCCAGAGGACCTAGGGAGTGGCTCCGGGTGTGAATAAGGACCTGCAGGTGCACTCGCCTCCTGATTCAGCAACGCCCTGCAGGTCTCAGAGCCCCTCTGTCACCCCGCAGTTTCGCTTCTCTGCTAGCTGATGTCCTATACTCCACCTCCACCACTTCATCAGGCAGATCATCAACCACAAATGTCCTTGCCTTCGATTTTCCTATCTCCCTTCACCAGCTACAGGGTCAGTTAACCTTCTCTGAATTCTTAACACCTGCACTCCATCTTTTGTTTTAGCCCCAGCCTTCTATTTATAAGGGATTTACAAGGGAACCCATAACCTTTGTTCACTCATGCTACTGGTTAACCACTAAGACATCTGGGGAGCTTTGGGTTTTTGTTGTTGTTGTTGTTTAGCCAAGTGAAGTTGCACTACGAAAGCAGGGACTCAGTAATCTAGACTCAGTATTTATTTCCTCCCCTCCCCCACACCCCATATGGTGAATCCTAATCCTTCCTTCCCCCACCCCCAGTGGTGTTTGGAGGTGAGGACTCTGGGAGGTGATGGGGTCATGGAGGGGGAGCCCTTGGAAAGGGACCTCAGTGAGCTCTCTCATTCCCTTTCTGCCACGGGAGAACACGAGAAATCAAAGGTTGGCAACCCAGAAGAGGGCCCTCACCAGAACCAACCGCGCCTGCCACCTTGACCTTGTACTTCCAGCCTCCAGAGCTGTGAGAAATCAACGCTTGTCGTGTCAGCCACCCGGGCTGTGGCATTTGGGTATAGCACCCTGAGCAGACTCACTGGGGCGGGATGCCAGCCACGGGAAACATCATCTCCTTACCCACGAGGTTCATCTTGGCACTGTAACTCCCGAAGTACTGGTTGTCCGTGCTGGGTGTGTGGCACTCATACTCCCCGGCGTCCCGGGCCTGCAGGTCGGTGATGTGCAACAAGGCTGAGTTCCCCTGGACCCTCTCCACGTAGATCTTCCCCCCGCGGACTCGCTGGGTGTAGATGGCGTAAGGGAAGGAGGAGTCCACGGTGCTGACGATTTGGACCTCCCGTTCCGGGGCAGATGGCAGGTAAATGGACCACTGGAAATTCTGTTCCGAAGGCCCCTGGTAGCCGCTCACGTTGCACCAGATGGTGATGTGGGAGCCCTCCGTGCGGTACAGAGGTCCTTCCTGGACGGCGACATGTCGCTGTGCCAGCACAACACCTGTGGGGGACACACGGACAGGCTCGCTTACTTCCCAGACCAAAACGCAGAGTAGGCCGCGATCTTCAAAAGCGTTTCTGATTTGTATGACATGATCATATAAATAGCTTCCTGGCCCTCTCTGAGGTGCTCTGTGATTTATAAATATTAATTAAAACACTGCGCTAAAGCTCTGTCCCGAATTTGCATATATGGAGATCTGACCAAGCAAAGCCGCAGTTGGTTACTGATTCAACGGCTGAACCCTTGGGAATTTCATTTAGTCCCTCTGTTTGTCATTTGTGTAGCGGTTTTATATCTACTTATTAATGCCGTTTATAAAGTTTTTAATGAAATAAGCAGGAAACGTTGACTCCTCGACACCCATTCCCATGAAAACAAATAAAAAAAAACCGTCCTGCAGGCTGGGCCTGTAGGCTGAAGGGAGTCCTGCGGACCTTGCTTTGGTGCTGCGCCCTTTGTTTTTATTTTTTTTTTAATTTATTTTTTTAAGATTTTTATTTATTTATTTGACAGAGAGAGATCACAAGCAGGCAGAGAGGCAGGCAGAGAGAGAGGAAGGGAAACAGGCTCCCGGCCAAGCAGAGAGCCCGATGCGGGGCTCGATCCCAGGACCCTGGGATTATGACCTGAGCCGAAGGCAGAGGCTTAAACTACTGAGCCACCCAGGTGCCCCTGCGCCCTTTATTTTTAGATGTAGCTCTTCCCAGCACAGGAGGTGGAGGAGCCGCTCCTCACCTCCTGGAGCTCCTGCGGGCGACTGCGGCTTGAAGCTGAATGCACATGAATGTGGAAGGACAGCCCGGATGCCAGCACACTGGCCATGGGGGGAGGGGCGCTGCCAGTCTGGCTGGCTATGCTGCTCTGAGGTCGCCCCTGCCTGCCTTCTCCTCGTTCTTCTCAACTACGCTCTCCCCATAGACTCGGGAGCATGGAAAATGGTGAGTTTCATTTCTCATTCCATGCTAGCCTGAGGCTGCTACTGCCTGAGCCCTAGGGCAGGGAGGAGAAGGCACCCCACCCCCATCTCCTCACCACTGCTCTCCCCCCATCCCCAGGCCGAACGAAAGGCCTTGCTTCCCTGCAGCAGCTGGGTACAGCAGTGAAGCACAGGGGGCAGGTGAGTTCCAGCCCCTGTTCTGCCAGTAACTAGGACTGGCTGTGTCATCTTGGACAGGTTGCTTTTCCTTTCTGGACCTTGATCTCTTCATCTATAAAACGATTTCTAAGAAGGCTTGGGAGTGGACCAGCACATACATTAGGGCTGGCTTTGTCCCTTACTGGCTGTGACCCTGGCTTAATTACTTAAAACCTCGGGGCCTCAGTTTTCTCATCTGTAAGACCAGGACAATAACATGGGCCTCACGGAGTTATCAGACTCAGTAAGATAACACCCATAGGGGTGCCTGGGTGGCTCAGTGGGTTAAATCCTCTGCCTTCCGCTGGGGTCATGATCCCAGGGTCCTGGGGAAGAGCCCTGAGTCTGGCTCTCTGCTCAGCAGGGAGCCTGCTTCCCTTCCTCTCTCTCTGCCTGCCTCTCTGCCTACTTGTGATCTCAGTCTGTCAAATAAATAAGTAAAATCTTTAAAACAAACAAGCAAAAGCACCTGTCAGGCCCCCAACACAAGGTCTAGCCCACAGTTACTCTTCCGTGCAGGGCTGCTAGCTAAAAACCCCTCCTAAAAACCCCTCCTGGCTGGAACATTCTGCAGTGCTGGATCCATAGGTTTGGCCAGACATCCCCAAGGACAATCCAAGGGCCTCTTGACAACGACAGCGTCTCTCGCCCACCCACCTCCACCCACAGCAGCAGCCCACTTCCACGGTCCATGACAGCTTCCCCTCTCCCTCTCTGAAAAGGAATCCCAGCTGCCCAGATGTGAACCGATCTGACGGGGATCCAGCTGGTGAGCAGCCCGGACAGCTCAAGGACAAGGGGACACAACTCGAGGCCAGTCCGGGGCTGCACTTGGGAGGGGGCAGGGTGGGCACCTCCGAGCAAGCTGGCCTCAGCTACAAGATGACAGACTTTACCACAGACCCTTGAAGGAAAGACGGGGGGCTTCCGACCTGTAATTCACAGAGATCCTTTCCTCCCAATCCAAGTCTTATCCGGAAGCCCATCTTGGCTTCCTGTGCAGAAATTGGGAACTGAACAAATGAAGGGGAGGGAACCAAATCAACGGATCAAAGTGGTCTGTGAATGTCACTGATCCATCCTGGTTGACAGCCCTCATTACTACACTGAGAGCCTCGGAGGAGACAGCTCATTAGTTATTTTTGGTCTGTGAAAATTGTGGTGTATAACATTTTGACTATGTGTACTCTGTCTATGACAGCTTAAAATATCTGTATGGTGACATTCTGAATCAAATGTTTGCACTCCTCCAGAAACACAGAACTCTGAAAATGATCTAACTGCATTCACAACATTCAGGTCTCTTTGTATCTCAGGGCTTGGTGACACAAAAGCTACACAAAAGCTTGCCAGGAAGGCCACTAGAGTCAGGTGAGAGGGAGCCAGCTTCTCCCTCACGCTGCAGCCACACTAGACTCACCCGGGGACCTTTCCGACACAGCAGGGCCTGGACCCCAGCTGGTGTAACTGGTCTGGGGTGCAGCCTGGCCAGTAGCAATTCTAAAAATCCAAAAGCATAGCAAGGTCAACAACTGCTGCTTCCACGGGTCTCTATGTGCTGGCAACCCCGTGTCCAGATTTGGGAGGCCATCTCCTCCCTTCTGCAAAGACTCTCCGTGAATCTGGGTCAAGAGAGCGTCACTCTTCTCTAGTGAATGGGCGCAGTGGAGGCCCATCGGACAATGCTGGCTCTCCTAACACGAGGCAACCTGGAGCTTAGCAAGCCCATGTTCTCCTCATAGACCTTACCACAGCGTTCGGCCATCAGATCACACATGTCACCCCTGGAAAGTAAACAGCGTGAAGCGGCCTTGATGAGCTGAGGCATCCGGGTCAAACTAACTTGTCCAAGCCCAAAGCAGGCTGTAAGCAGCCTTGTTGAACAAATAAATAAACAAACACCGGGCTGGACTTGAACCACACACATTCGGCTGCACTTGTTCATTCAAGATCTCCTTCATTTCCTTCCTGCCCCACAAAGGGCCTCTGGTCCCTGAAAATAACACCGTTCTTAAAGAGTGGACCCTAACACAGAAGTAGAAATTACATTTTCCTTCTCAGTTTAATTCCCTTCCTGCACCCCACTCTCCACATTTCCTATTCCTGGCTCTGCCCCCTCATTTTCTGAGACAGCGCCATGTCTTTAAAGAGACCCAGGTCCCCTACCTGGCCAAGGCCTGCGCTGGCCTCGAGGCCCCTTCCGTCTTCCCTCTCAGCCTACAACAGGAGACTCCTCCTGGGCAGGGATTACGCTTTTTTAGTGTTATTGCTTTTTTTCACTTTAGACATTCTTATATGTTTTGAATTACTTTGCAACAAGCAAATACCACTTCTGTAATTTAAAAAGAAAAGAACAAATATACACAGGGTCATATACAGCCATCTAAAAAGGACTGGATGCAAAAGGCAGAGAAAGAGTGGAAGACAAAAATAAGAGCAAGGAGCAAGGGCTACAAATACAAAACAGTAATATGTGTGGTAGATACAAATGCAACTATATCAGAAATCACTCTGAACGCCAATCAATGGTCTAAACGTGCCAATTAAAAGACAGAGATTGTGAGAGTGGATCAAAACACACGAGCCAAAAATTAACAAGTCAGGAAATGACAGATGCTGACAAGGATGCGGAGAAAGGGGAACTCTCCTACACTGTTGGTGGGAATGCAAGCTGGTGCAACCACTCTGGAAAATAGCATGGAGGTTCCTCAAAAAGTTGAAAATAGAGCTACCCTACGACCAGCAATCACACTACTGGATATTTACCCTAAAGATACAAATGTAGTCATCCGAAGGGGCACGTGCACCCAAATGTTTATAGCAGCAATGTCCACAATAGCCAAACTATGGAAAGAACCTAGATGTCCATCAACAGATGAATGGATAAAGAAGATGTGGTATATATATACAATGGAATACTATGCAGCCATCAAAAGAAATGAAATCTTGCCATTTGCGACAACGTGGAAGGAACGAGAGGGTATTATGCTGAGTGAAATAAGTCAATTGGAGAAAGACAACTATCATACGATCTCCCTTATATGAGGAAGTGGAGATGCAATGTTGGGGATTTGGGGGGTAGGAAAAGAATAAATGAAATAAGATGGGATCGGGAGGGAGATAAACCATAAGAGACTCTTAATGTCACAAAACAAACTGAGAGGGGCCGGGGGAGGGTGGTAGGGAGAGGGTGGTGGGGGTTATGGACTTTGGGGAGGGTATGTGCTATGGTGAGTGCTGTGAAGTGTGTAAACCTGGCGATTCACAGACCTGTACCCCTGGGGCTAATAATACGGTATATGTTTATAAAAAAATTTAAAAATTAAAAAAAAAAGAAATCATAGACCAACACAGTGTTTGGCGCAGTCATGAGAAAGCACTCCATCAATTTTCACAATTTTAAGCATAATGTTAATGTTTAATATCAAATGAGATAATAATGTGGAAGTACTCTGTAAAGTGGTACAGGGCTGTACCCATTGTTGAGTGTTTCCTCTACATAAATGCCTCACATTTCTTTGATGCCATTAGTGATAATAGTCCAGTGTCATGTTATTGTAACTGAAGGGTAATTCTCTGTATATTTTGTCTGTTGAAGGCGTGGATAGAAATTAATAAAGCTCCCTTCACTCTACAAAAAAACAAAAACAAAAACAAAACAAAAAAAACACACGAGCCAATATATAATATCTTATATATCTTGTAGATATTATGTATCTATAAGAAGTCCACTCTAAATATAAAGGCGCATATAGATTATGGGTAAATGGATGGAGAAAAATACCCCATGTAACCACCAATCAAAAGAAGCAGGGAGGCACCTAGGTGGCTCAGTGGGTTAAGCCTTTGCCTTCGGCTTAGG